CAGACACACTGGATTTATAAACAATTTATTTAACAGATTTCAATACTCGAAAAACAGACTAAAAAAGTCCCAAATAAAACGAAACTTTTAACGTTTTATGCTCGTCGTCGATTTCTCCCCAGTGTCCTTTGCGCGCCTAGTGCATAGGTAACCCAAAACTACTCAATGTCAATAAACCGGAAATAAAAACAAACAAACGTCATAAAGTTCCAAAACATCCCCCTCCCGAATACGAAGTGTTCGCTTTAATTAAGCCCAGTTCGTTTACTCTAGATTAATGTCTCGGGTTCTTCAATCATCACTTTCAAGTGGGCACAATCGATATACCGGACGTTCGCAAATATTTTCGCCAACTTTGGCTTTAACTACGCGAATTAACCCGTCTTTCCCCGGGTGAACTTCAGTGATGCGTCCCAAGGGCCATTCTCCACGTCTAACTTTGGGATCCATGAACAATACCACGTCTCCTTCTTTCATATTTCGTCGAGGATGATACCACTTTCCACGTGTGTTGAGGTTTGGCAGAAATTCTTTTCTCCAGCGGGCCCAGAACTGGCCGAGTAATTGCTGAACGCGACGCCGCCGTTTCCGTGGATTGCAGGCTTCGTCGACGTCTAAAGCTTCTGGTGCATATTGTCCCCCGAGCTGTCCTACGATGAAATGGTTCGGGGTCAGTGGAGTAAGGTCGTTTGCATCAGAACTAACGTAGGTAATCGGACGAGAGTTAAGTTGATGTAGATGCGAGAGCTAATTTATTTTTATATTATAATTTATGGTAAGTGCAAATGCACGCTTGACCAGGTATAAAATGCAAGCCGTGCGAAGTCGGAGTTTTTCTGTTAGTTCGTTGTTATACACTATAAGGTGAACACTAAGATATCATAAGGATATATTGATCGATCTTGAACTATTCGTCACATTTAGTCAAGTAAGTTAACATTTTCTACTGTGTTGAATCATGTAATAGGTACCTTTTACAGTATTTGTATAATAATTTTTAGATACCGTTAGCTGGACAAAGGAACCAGGTTTAAATAAAGTGTTTTAAGTACAACTGTATACAGAGGGTTAAAGTGTTCAGAACGCGTAACGACGTATGTGAAAGTACATTTGCATTTGACTAAATACCTAGTCAAATAGGAAACCAAGTTCAAGTGCTTACAAGTTTGATTTATTTAAGTATAAGCGAAGTTAAGACGAGCAAATATTGTCGAATGAACAAAGAGTGTGCGTTCAACCGAGGGATTAGATGATTCTGTCTTGAGTCTAGAAGCAGATTTAGAGCCGGAGTTTTTACGAGAACCTCTCAGAGAAACCGTACGAAGAAGTGTTAGATCTCGCAGAGTGAATACTACGATTGACAGAGATGGTGTTCTTCGAGAAAGATTGATAACGCTAAATAGACAGAAATCAGGAGTTTTAGCAGCTGTGACCGCAAAGCGTAACGAGATTGAAAGGCTTATGAAAAATGTGGATAATTTCCTTCAAGTTCAATCTGAAGCTGCTGTTTTAACTGATCTTTTTGAGAAGTATATTGCCCAGAAAAAGTTATTGTCAGAAATGAAAGACGACGATGACAACAAGTTAAAAGCAAATCGTGATTTTAACGAAACAATTCAACGCGTGGGTGTCTTTGAAAGCAGATTAAAAGCGTGGTTAATTAAAGTCGAAGCGGAGATTCAACAAGAAGTTCAGCCAAGCGACAGCGCGTCACAATTAACTAAAGTAACGAGTTTATCTAAGAGAAGCTCAAGATTAAGTCAAGCGTCGTCAAAAAGAAGTTCTATCTCGGCTGCTCGAGTTAAAGAAACGGCCAGAATGGCAGAGATTAACGCGGAGGTAAAGGCACTCAAACAAAAACAAGCTTTGTTACAGAAGGATTTGAAGTTAAAAGAAGAAAAGATGAAGTTGTCATTTCAATTGGAAGAATTAAACTTGGGAACAGAGCTCGCTAAAGCGAAAGCTAAAGAACAGATATTCGCTCAAGCAGAAACAGAACTACTTGAAAGTAATGCATGGAATATTGATTTAAAAAAGACCACTCGTGAATTACGTGAAGAGCAACCAAGGGATGCCTCAAAAGTAGAGATGATTCGCGAAGCAAGTAAAGATAATAAGTCATATGGAAAACTAGTAAAAGATATGTCGAGACATCCTCGAGAACAGCCTGTAGTGCAACAATATCTTGGTGAAGAAAGATCACGAAACAGCCATATTCATGGGTCAACCAGTGGTTTACCTCGCGACCAAGATAGCGAAAAGACGTTGAGCTCTTCTGTTTCCAGTATCAACCCAATGTTGTCCACCAAACCTGAGATTGAATCCAAAATTCTGCAACAACAAAATTCCATCATGGAGAAATTAGTAACCCAGCAACAAAGATCGACACTTCCTCATCGTGATATGTTTACGTTTGATGGTGATCTAACGAAATATCGAACTTTTATTCGTGCGTTTGATACTTTAATCGAGGCAAAAGAACCAGATTATGCCAGCAAGCTGTATTATCTCGAGCAATATACCTCTGGTAGAGCCCAAGAACTGGTTCGTAGCTGCCTACATATGCCCCATAAAGAAGGATACTTGAAAGGTAGAACGTTGTTGGAGCAGAAGTTCGGGCAGAAGCATAAAATCGCGATGGCTCATGTGGAGAAGCTCACCAATGGAAATCCAATTAAAGCCGAAGATGGCGATTCATTGGAACAGTTTTCGATTTCTTTGATGAGTTGTTCTAACACATTAAAGGCAATCGGTTATCTCAACAAAATCGAGAATTCCAATGGTATGAAGAAAATTGTAGAACGGTTACCCTACAAGTTGCAGGAAAGATGGAGAGATATTGCGGACAGAATCATGAATGATGAAGAAAGAGAAGTCACTATTGAAGATATTGCAAAGTTTGTTGAGACGAAAGCAAGATCCATGAATAATCCCGTGTTTGGTAAAATATCGTACCCTTCTAAAGATCAGAATGTTAGATCTAAAGTTCCAAGGCAGAAAACCATCTCTGGGCCCGGAAACAGATCAAGCACATTTGCTACCCAAGTCGATAATGCAACGATAAAGAATCGATCGAAAGTATCAGAAGCGAGTGTTCAAACGGAAAAGGAGAAGACCGTTTGTCAATGTTGTGGAGCAAATCACAAAGTTTTGGACTGTGAAGACTTCGCAAAAAAGTCTTACTCTCATCGACTAGATTTTGCCAAGAAGCATAGACTTTGTTTCGCGTGTTTGAAAGGTGGTCATCAATCGAAAACTTGCTTCGAATGCGGTGGAAAACATGCAACGCTGTTGCATTTCTCGCGACAACCGACGCAAGACGACGCAACCAAGAAGGGTGACACAACAAATAAGAACGACCATCATGAGCACGACAATGAAAAGAACAACAATGATCGTATGGACTCTCGCTGCAGTTTTACAACGACTGGAGATTCCATTACAGCTTTACCAGTAGTACCAGTGAAGGTCAGGAAACGTGGTAGCGCAGAGTACGTTCAAACGTACGCCTTGCTGGACAATGGCTCAAATTCCACCTTTTGTACAGATTCCTTAAGAAAGCGTTTGGGATGCGGTGGTGCAGAGAGGAAGATCAAGCTAACTACAATTGGTACGAGCCAAGATGTCACAACTGTTATGCTCAATGATTTGGAAGTCACAGACTTGGACGAAAACAACACTATCCCTCTACCTGAAGTGTTGTGCAGACCGAATATACCAGTTTCCAAGGATGAAATTCCGACCCAAGAAGATGTGGACCGTTGGCGTTATCTCCATGGATATATACACCTACACAATATCAACTCTGAAGTAGAACTTCTTATCGGTGCAAACATTCCTGAAGTTCTTCAACCCATACAGATCATTGCTTCCCAAGATGGAGGACCTTATGCCACCAAAGTCGCACTTGGTTGGGTGATCAATGGCCCTATTGGACGAAAGCTTGGAAGTGCTCTTCACGACTGCTTCTTTACGCAGATGAAGGTGCATCCTATGTGTGCAGTTTGCACTGACTTCATTGATGCTTCAGATTTCGACAAAGAGATGTCTAGAGATGACCTTCAATTCATGAACATTGTCGAGACCTCCGTAAGACGGACCACGGACAATCATTATGAGATTGCGTTGCCTGTAAGAGATCCTGGTTTGACGATGCCAAACAACCGTGTGCAAGCAGTAAGAAGGATGGCCCATCTGAAACAGAAATTTCGGAAGGATTCAACATTCTGTGAAGATTATACCAAGTTCGTGACCGAAATTATTCAGAAAGGTTACGCAAGAAAAATTCCCGAAGCGAAGTTGAATCGAAATGACGGCCGTGTATGGTATCTACCACATCACGGAGTTTACCATCCCAAAAAACCTGACAAAATACGCGTGGTGTACGACTGTTCAGCAGAATATCAAGGAACGTCACTGAATAAGCAATTGTATCAAGGCCCAAATTTAACCAACAATTTGGTGGGAGTTCTGACACGATTTCGCCAAGAGAAAGTTGCTTTCATGACCGATGTGGAAGCAATGTTTCATCAGGTTCGAGTACCAGGATCTGACTGTGATCTCTTTCGATTCTTTTGGTGGCCTGAAGGTGATGTGGATCAAGAGATGCAAGAGTATCAAATGACCGTTCATTTATTTGGAGCTGCGTCATCGCCAAGTTGTGCGAACTTCGCCCTACGCAGAACCGCCGAAGACAACGATGCGAGTTACGATCCTGCAGTTACTGACACGGTGAAAAGGAATTTTTATGTTGATGACTGCCTGAAGTCCGTGCCTACATCGGAAGACGGAGTAAGTCAAGCGAGAGATCTTCGGGAGCTTATGTCGAAAGGCGGTTTCAAGCTGACCAAATGGATAAGCAACGATCGGAAAGTCCTAGAATCTATCCCAGAAATGCTGCGAGCGAAAGATGTCAAAGATCTAGATCTACGCAAAAGCATTTTACCAATCGAGAGAGCTCTTGGTGTAAAGTGGTGCGTGAACACTGATACATTCGGCTTTAAGATAGCAGTGAAAGAACGTCCGATCACCCGACGTGGTATTCTCTCTGTAGTCAGTTCTGTTTATGATCCGCTTGGCCTTGCTTCGCCCTTTATCCTCCCTGCCAAAATCCTTCTTCAAGATTTGTGCCGCAAAAGTTTGGATTGGGATGACGAAATACCAAGTGGCTATAAACTTATCTGGCAAAAGTGGTTAGACAATCTTCCAAAGCTTACTGAGTTCTCTATTCCTCGTTGCTTCAAACCATCCAACTTTGGAGAGATCGTAGATAGCCAACTTCATCATTTTTCTGATGCCTTTCAAGCAGCTTACGCAGCAGCGTCTTACATTCGAGTTCGTGATGTCCAAGATCAAGTACATTGCTCCTTGCTGATTTGCAAATCACGCCTGGCACCCATCAAAGCGATGACCATCCCGAGGTTGGAGCTTGCAGCTGCCACATTATCCATTCAACTTGATCGTACCTTGAAGAGAGAGCTACAAATTTCAATTCAAAGTTCCACATTTTGGACTGACAGTACCACTGTGCTTCAATACTTGATGAATGACGTCAAACGGTTTCACACCTACGTTGCTAATCGTGTCGCTTTTATTCGTGCGAATTCTGACCCAAAGCAATGGAAGTATGTGAACACCAAGAATAATCCAGCTGATGAAGCTTCAAGAGGTTCCACGCTATGTTCGTTCCTTAAGAATGAAAGATGGAAAAACGGTCCAGAATTTGTGAAAAAGCCAGAAGATGAATGGTCCGCTGCACAGAATCAACCACAATTTCGTGATGTTTTAGATTCTGATCCTGAAGTTAAGCAAGATGTATCGTCGTTCTCCACGAAAACAGAAGTTCCTGAAGAATCAACCCTGATGGAGATCTTTGGTCGTTTTTCATCTTGGACGTTGCTGAAGAAGTTCATTGCGTGGTGTATCCGCTGCCAAGCACGATTCCGTAGAATTCGTACTCAGTCCGCAATTTTGGACGTGTGTCTCTCAGGAAATCAGCCAATCACAGTTCCAGAGTTGAGGGTCGCTGAGAAGAAAATTCTGATGTGCATACAGAAAGAAACATTTTCCAAAGAGTTGAATGATTTGTCAAGCAAGAATAACAATTGTGTTAAGAAATCAAGTGCGTTGTTCAAATTGGATCCTATCCTGAAAGAAAACCTCATTCGTGTCGGTGGACGTTTGAATAAAGCACCAATTACGCAAGACGGCAAAAATCCAGTTATTCTACCGAAGAAAAATCCAGTTGTGGATTTGATAATCAAGCATTTTCATGTTATACTAGGTTAATTAGCTTTCTAGAAAATAGAATACAAAGAGTAATGGTTGATGGAATGGTTACAGAATATTTATATATTAATCGTGGTGTCCCTCAAGGTACTGTTTTAGGCCCAGTTCTTTTCTCAATAATGGTTGATGATATTAAAACTGCTGATCCTAGTAATGCGTTAGTCAGAAGAAGTAGGTTACTTAGGCCTAGAGGGCATGAGTATGAACTCCCCCTAGTGAGAACAGAAAGATTCAAAAGGTCGTTCATAAATCGTTGTCTGTATAACTTTGTTTAGACTTTAATCTATTAAAAACTTTTTAAAACTTTTTACGCTTCTTAACTTACAATTGTAAATATAACTAGATCAATTACCTTTCGATTGTAAACTCAGACGGATGTATCTGAGTATTTTAATAAAGACTATTATTATTATTATTATTATTATTATTATTATTATTCGGGGAGAGAACACATTCTAGCTGTCTTACGTGAGCGTTATTGGATAATTCATGGCAATTCTACCGTAAGAAGAGTTTTGGCAAAATGTTTCAGTTGTAGACGACGTCAAGCGAAAGTAGGAGAGCAGAAGATGGCAGACCTTCCGCATGATCGAGTAAACCCTAGTGCACCGCCTTTTACCTGTGTTGGAGTAGACTACTTTGGACCCTTCTTGGTTTGTGAGAAAAGAAGTATGGTCAAACGATATGGTGTCATCTTTACTTGCCTCACAGTCAGAGCTATACATTTAGAGATTGCAGCAACTTTGAATACCGACTCCTTCATTATGGCATTGAGAAGATTTATTTCCCGCAGAGTTCAAGTGAAAGAGATCCGCTCGGACAATGGTACGAATCTGGTTAGTGGTGAAAAAGAAATACGACAGTCAATTCGAGAATGGAATCAGAAGCAGATTCACAATTTTTTACTCCAACGAGAGATCAAGTGGACCTTTAACCCACCCACCGGATCACATCACGGAGGAGTTTGGGAACGGTGTATAAGAACTGTGAGGAAAGTCTTGCGAGCGTTGGTTAAGCAGCAGACTCTAAATGACGAAGCTTTAGCTACTCTTATATGCGAAGTTGAAGCGATTGTAAACAGTAGACCGCTAACAGTAGTATCAAGTGATCCGAAAGATATGGAACCCTTGACTCCAAACCATTTGCTCCTTCTCCGCGGTCAACCTTCTCTTCCACCTGGTTTATTCAACAAGGATGATTTATACTCAAGAAAACGATGGAGACAAATTCAGTATATGGCAGATCTCTTTTGGAAACGATGGATACGCGAGTACCTGCCTCGGTTACAAGAACGACAGAAGTGGAGCTACCCTCGAAGAAACTTTGCTGTTAATGATGTAGTGTTGGTTGTTGACCAGTCTTCCCCCCGCAATACGTGGCCATTGGGACGCATTACGCAAGTATTTCCCGATAAGAAAGGGTTTGTACGTCGTGTTGCTGTCAAGACAAGTACGGCGATTCTTGAACGTCCAATTAGCAAATTATGTTTGTTAGAATCAGTATAAACTCCAGAAATACCATATTTATGATTTCATTGATTGTATTATAATTGTTGTGTGTGCTCTCACATCAGGATTTTTATGAAAATACTTCGAATATATCTCCGCATTTAGGGGGCCGGTGTGTAGATGCGAGAGCTAATTTATTTTTATATTATAATTTATGGTAAGTGCAAATGCACGCTTGACCAGGTATAAAATGCAAGCCGTGCGAAGTCGGAGTTTTTCTGTTAGTTCGTTGTTATACACTATAAGGTGAACACTAAGATATCATAAGGATATATTGATCGATCTTGAACTATTCGTCACATTTAGTCAAGTAAGTTAACATTTTCTACTGTGTTGAATCATGTAATAGGTACCTTTTACAGTATTTGTATAATAATTTTTAGATACCGTTAGCTGGACAAAGGAACCAGGTTTAAATAAAGTGTTTTAAGTACAACTGTATACAGAGGGTTAAAGTGTTCAGAACGCGTAACGACGTATGTGAAAGTACAGTTGACCTTCGGCTCCAACGATAGCTGTGTGAAGCTCTTCGTCTGTAACACTTGTGTCGCCAAGGATTGCTCTCATCGCCTTCTTGCTACTCTTGATCATCGCTTCGAACACCCCTCCAAAGTGAGGCGCTGATGGGGGGTTGAACTTCCATTCGATGCTGTGATGCGGTCGTGTTGTTGCATTGATGATTTTGTCTTGGTCGAACTTTTCTAACAGCTCACGTAATTCTCTTTCCGCACCGACAAAGTTCGTTCCGTTGTCCGATACGACGTACGTTGGCGTCCCCCTTTTTGCAGTCATCCGGATAAAAGCATTAATGAACGAATCCGTGTCTAGAGAATACGTCATTTCGAGGTGTACCGCGCGAGTGTTGAGGCAGGTAAATAGGCACAGATACCGTTTGGCTTTCGCTTTTCGTCGTCCTTGTTTTGTGAGGAAGGGAC